GACTTAAAATATTTTTGCCCTTCCTTGCCTTTAAAGGAGTGCCCTTTTCCGTGCTGATGTTGCTACATGCCTTACTTCTTGCCGATCTCACACTGCGAATTTTTTCTAAGCTCTATACTAAACATTAAATCTGTTACGAAAAAAGAACTAAACAAAATGAACACAAAACGATCAGCTTTAAAAAGGACTCGTAACTGGAAAAACCGAATGAAAAAAGAATGTTAACAACAAATACTTTTTCACACCAAACCCAGTTCTGTGGAATCAGAATCAACGTTGAGTTTAAGCAAGCGAATGAGCCAATTGGAGTAAAGATTTAAATTTTTCCCACTTGTAACGAATGCATCTATCGATTTTTTTTTGCATGCCAGTTAACATTCGTGTCAGTCAGCTGTTGTCTCACACGATGGCCAATAGAATATTCCTGCCTATTCGGGGCAGCCAGCTATAGGCTCTCACTCTGGCCAGTAGAAAATGGCCGCAAACTACATGAAAACTGCCGTAGAAGCACGAAGACATCGATTATTTCCACTATCGATGGGAGTTGGGAAATGCAAAGACTGTCTTGGTCTTTCCGCTAACTTGGAGTATGTGCATGTAAATTTTGGTGCAAATCGGTCGAAAATTCTGGCCGTGCATTCGTTACACACACACACACATCCTTCTTTTTATAGATAGAGATAAATGTATTTATCTTCTAATTTGCTCTCTCTTTTCAAGCTGACTGGACATGTTACCAAAACTGTTAATAAGAGTCTTAACTCTTTACTTTGTATCGTTACTTCTACAAGGAGAATTACATGAAGGCAACATATAGAGTTTTTTTGCTGCAATTCTTGACGCAAACGATTGGCACCGCGAGAATACGACAGAAACAAGTAAAAATCATTTCTTTCTTTCTTCGCCATGTTTTGCTTTAAATGCCAACAGTCGAATTTGAAATCCCAACAGTACTTTTTATTAGCAACAGCAACTATCATTTATTCAGGTAGCGCATTTTGCGCCGCTGTGGGTCACCACTCCCCTCCATCTCACAATTTGTGGTTCATGGTGACATTCAAGGCAGAATAATGCAATGGCTTGTCGGTTCCGTTTGCACAGGGGATGATGAGATTACCCCGTCCCTACTCTCAGTGGTGGATTTCTTTTTGAAGTTACCTAAAAGTCAGGACCTACAAGGCTTTGAATTCAATGTTTCCATTTACTAGACTGGTTGCGACCCAAGACTATAGGGCCCAGACTGTCTTGCTATTTTACCCATAGCTGGCCAGAGACGAGATGAATTCATAGTTTTTCCAAGGTTATTAGCACGTAAGTGAATGTAATGAACTCAAATGAAATTCGAACTCGGCTCTACGATTTCTCAATCCGAGACGCTAACCATTACTTCTTTAAACATGTTACTTGCTCTGTTCGTGTTGCTCGTACTTTCTATTTCTAATAAGTCTTCAGTATAAACTTCATGATGCCATTTCTGTCTTTAGGTCTCTGGTTGGGACCCCGAAAATGAGTATACAACAGAAATCAAAGGAAATAATAATTTCATTTGAATTGGTTAGTGAGTTTTGCGCCCCTGTGGTCATTACTCCCTCTATCTTACAGTTGTGGTTGTTGGTAACTCCATGGCTCTTCTCTCGGCCGTACCGACAAGATGCAAAAGAATATAAGGCCTTTTATTTCTCGGAGTCCTTTTTCTATTATTTCAGCTATAATCTCATCACCATTTATTCAGTTGGCGCAGAATAATGTAATGGCTTGTCGGTTCCGTTTGCACAGGCGATGTTGAGGTTGACTCGTTCCTCCTCTGGGAGGTTAAAGAAGCAAGACATACAAGGCAGCAAGAGGTTTGAATTCAGAGTTTTCCTTCTCTTAGACTGGCAATGGTTTATGGAGGTCGTGTGCTACCCAGACTCCATGGCTTCTCTCTCGGCCGTACTGACAAAATGCAAAAGAATACAGGGCGTTTTTTACTTCTCGGAGTCCTTTTTCTAATATTTCAGCTATATTCTCATCACCATTTATTCAGTTGGCGCATCTCACAATTTATTCAGTTGGTCCATCTCACAATTTGTGGTTCATGGGGGACATTCAATGGCTTGTCGGTTCCTTTTGTACCGGGGTTGTTAAGGTTACCCCGTCCCATCTCTCAGGGGTTAAAGAGACAGAACCCACGAATTGGATTGAATTCAGATTTTTTTCTTCTCCTAGACTGGTTGCCAACCAAGAATATAAAGCCAAGTCTATCCTATTATTTACTAATAGCTTGGAGGTAGAGATGGATTTATACCTTTTCAAAAGATATTAGCACGTAAGAACAATGAACTCGACTGTCAGATTATATTTTGAACGCAATTTTATGCCTTCAACGACATATAAAATGGGTTGTAATATAAATGATGCAATGTATTTTAATATAAATATGTATTGTTGGTAATGTTTCTTACATAAAGATGTATTGCTGATATTATAAAAAAAGTATTTTCATACTACATATAGTTTT